CCTGGACAGGTCGCCAGTCTGTCGCAGGGCTAACACACAGGGACACAGACAACCATTCGCACTGACAGATTCACACCTATGGGCAATTTAGATTGACCAATTAACCTATCCCCACTACTGCATGTTTTTGCACTGTGGGAGGAAGCCAGAGTACCCGGGGAGAACCCACGCAAACACGGGGAGAACCCACGCAAACACGGGGAGAACCCACGCAAACACGGGGAGAACCCACGCAAACACGGGGAGAACATGCAAACTCCACACAGAAAGACCACGGCCTGATGGTAGAATTAAGCTCAGGACCTTCTTTCTGTGGTTTTTCATTTTTGTACCCAATTAAACATTCATAAAGGTGTTAAAGAGTTAGTAGTGGTTGGTAACACAATCAAGTGTTGCATAATTCTATTTTATCTTTTTAAACATAGCCACTATTGAAAAAATTGCAAATTAATAACATTTGGGGGCCGGATCTTTTTGTACAACGTGTTACACATGTTAAAAAACATAATGGCAGAAAACACATGAAAAAGCTGTGAACTATTACAGTGGTTTGCAAAAGACTCCCAGGTGTTCTTTTATTTTGCAGTAATAATGGAAAAACTAGGCCAACACACCCAACTGTAGACTTTGGAGATGAGGTAGATTCTCACATTATTCTGAACTGCAATGACTGTTGCTTTGTCATTGAGTGGAGGAAATGTACTCACCCACAATGCCAAAAGCTGAGACAGTCCTGGACAGGCCAGAGGAACCCTTCTGACTAATCTTAGTCCGGTTGCCCAGGTCCAGGCGGCCCAGCAACTCCCTTACCTCTTGCTGGTTATACACATGCTGGAAACACACACATGCACGCATGTACGGTATTAAATACACATTAGATGAAGTGTTTATAAAGTTTAGTTTATTAATTAGCCACATAATCCTATCTGATTTCCATCTAAAAATCAACACTAAAATATATAAAGCTGTGTTCTGACAAAAGTGACTTAAATGTGCTGCTTGCGGGTGACTAATGGCTTCAGTCAGAACTATTAAGACTTCTTTATTTTCTGTGCAATAGCAGGTAAATGAATAACAGTCCCTGTTTAATCAATGCCCAAAATTTCTACAAAAGGGATTAGATTGACTGCCATTGAGGCAATTAGTCTGAAAATAGATCGGCTGCTTTCTGCATTGGTTCTGAAATGTTAAATGACTAAAGAGTAGCTTTGCGTGCATTTCATCTACAAAAAAACCCCCATCTCATTTACATAATAAGCTTTACAATTGGCACAGACCCCAAAGAGAAACGTAGTAATGTACTGTGTGCTGTATGCTACTGCATTTGTTTTAAGTGCATGATTCTATAGATTGCAATAATTCTCATTCTGTTATCTTGTGGGGAAAAAATTAATTTAGGACTTCTATCAAAGTCTTTTATTCCACTGTCTTCACTTCTTATGTAAAAACTAAAAGACGAGGGAGTATTTCTAGCTTTAAAACCTCCCTAGCAACTCATTAAATTATCCATGCATCCAAGTACAATGCTACACAATGCCAATAAAATTGAAAACACACAGTTTTCTGATGTCATTTTAATATCTTTTGGAATGAGACTGTTGGGTGATGAATATTTATTAATGGATGCTTCATAATAATTGCATCAGAAGGATAATTACCCACAACACAAACAAACAAATCAAAAACCAGCTCATAGATCCTGGTAATAAGAAAAGGGTGTGAACGCAGCCAAACTCTCATCAGCAGCACACTTCACATCAGCTGAGTGATTGCACAATTTCCCCCTTAGGCATGTTTCTTGTGTATTACATAAGAATATACATTAAAATTTAACTCGTGGAAAGTCGTCACTTACCTTATCGTCAATTATAACGAGGTCCTTGGGTTCTGTGCGGTCAATCTTTAGGACTCGATGTTTGGTCTGTGCATGATTGCTCCCAACCAAAAAATACCTCTGAAAATAAAATGACAAGTCAAGTGAGTGCTGCAATGCATTTGGAGCCTATTATCAGAAGAGTCTTTGCAACCTTAACCTTTCACAGCTGCATGTGGTGATAAATGCATAGAGGGAATCTTGCATACAGTCTTCTAACTTTGTGGACTGCAGCTTTGTCCTGGATGATGTTGACTTGGGACCAATTCAGACTTCAACCAAGAGCAGATATGTATTTAATAGACATAGAATCAATCCAATGACAAGTCACATTCCTGCATTGCAGCACCACTGTTGAAGTCAAACTTGAATTTCTTTTTTTCCCTATAATAAAACATTTTATTTCCACAGTCCGAGTAAGAATCAGTGTGTCTGAAATTTGTGAAATTACACTCAAGTATGTATTCAACTAAAGGCGATATCTTAAAAACACAGATTGAAATAAGAGTGCATACAGTGCAGAGCACATGCAGGCACAGCACATATTTCATCACAAGATACATTTTTACAATGTTCTTTTTGTCAAGATGTGTGTCTTCCTTGCATCTTTCTTTCTTTCTTTTAGGTCATTACTCTCCTCATTCAGGGTTGCAAAATGGCCCAAAATTTTCAGTCCACTAAAGAGTGTTAAATTGGAACATCCTGTATCAGCACACTCAGCAACCATTAGAGCATTTTTTTTCCCTGTTCCACCTTTTCCAGTATCTAATTTAACCCTCTTTGTCTGTAACAGAAAGCCTGCACGTGCACTGTTCAGCAGAGGTTCAATAAGAAATTATAAATCAAATAAGACAAATGTTTACTTGCCTTAGTGTCTAAATATTTGTAGCAAATGGGAACAGCAAACCGAAACCCAGCTTAAGCACACATTTAAACCAAGCATGACCACAGCTGGTGAAATGCAGCGACAATTGAAAACATGATACTATTAGAATACGCAGCAAAGAAAGTAGCATAGACACTCTACCTCTCAAGGACATACATCTAATATTTAAAAAAAAAAAAAAAAAAAAGCTAAAGAAAACTCATTTTAACTGCCAAAATCTAATTCACCAATTAAATGTCCAGATAATTATCACACACATGCTCTTTACTGACCTCATGGATGTCAGGTCCTGAGGTTTCATATAGTCACCTGCAGCTTTTGCTGCCATCTAGTGTACATGTAGCGTGTACACTAGTGTCCCAAACATTTTCCCAGATCAACTATAGAACTCTTGAACCAAAGACTAGAGAGCACTTTAAAAAAAAAAAAAAAAAAAAAAATAGGTAATAGGTTTTAGCTGTCTTAAATGAACAGTTGTGCCACAGTGTCGTTATCATGGTACTTCAAAGACAGTGATTGTCCTGAATATATATCAAGTTTGTGACATTTATGTATTAGGCACAAAAATTGAGCAATATCATTTTATGAACCTTTGAGCATTTCCCCATTAAGCACATATGTCTTAAGTATGGTCTTGTCTGAAAGCCTTCAGCCACCCCTTATTTGTTTTCCTTCTAAGCAGATGAAAACATGTAATTTTTAAAAATCTTCTTGAGCAATAGTTCTCCAGGTTTTAATGTACAAATTAAAGTTCTTCTCTAGACATCAGCTGCTTTTTCACTCATTTTCAGTCTATTTTCTGGAGATTTTTTTTGTCTGTTAAGCCACTTGACCTATGAATCATTCAAGCATAGAAAAAGCACCTAACTCAAGGAATGAATTATTTACATATAACAGACAACTTAGTAAAGAGCCCATTTTAAATTTTATCTTTAGGCACATCAATACTGTTGCATTCTGTCACAAAACACACAATTTATTTCAATTTCTTTAACCAAACCTTGAAAAAATGCAAAATATAAGATAGCTTGACTGGAATAAAATACTATTTTTGCACAAACAACATGATTGCTAAAGAGCTGTGCAGTGTGGCTTAAAATAATTGAGGAAACTGAACAAAAGAAGAACTGACAGACCTAAAAAAATATCTACAGCAGAAGACTATATCTGAAAGTCGCGTCCTTAAGAAACAGGGGGGAAAAAATCCCACAAACACTCACTTGACCCTAGATAGAAAACACACACAACTGAACACCATCAGTCATAAATTGGCCTCGTCAAAAACACCGGACCTCAACACTACTGAAGCGGCGTGCACAGCACAACAACACGACACAACAAAAGACAACCACCATCTAAAGAGTTTTGAATGTACTATTCCTGAAAACTCCTTAAGGAAGCTTAGCAAAATGGAGAAACAGCGCAGTTTAAAGAACTGTCATCGCGTGTAGTTGTAAACTGCCCAGGTGAATTGGACTTTATGAAGAAATGGTGACATTAAGGGCTCATGTAAAGACTTACTGCTCTGGTCTCGTACAGAACCAGTCGCTGGATCCCACCGATGATAGCTGCTGATTGAGGCATTTTCTATTCTTGAATTGTTCAACAGTCAGTCTGGAAGAGGCTACAGAGGAGCTACAAAGCGAAAGTGAAAAGAAATGAATGTTGTTACATTCATTTCTTCACATTATAAGACACAAAATGACGAGCCAGCATATTTAACAAATGTGTTCATGTATATAGCTTACTTTTTCCCTCAGTACTTCCTAGCTAGCATCACTCACCATTCATCCACTTAGCTTGTATGATTAACCACAAATGGTCTTCATTGATGACAATATACATCTCCCCATGCAGTCGCAACAAATACTGTAAACGCTTCACTTAACAACAGTTAAAATGCATCTGTACTCTGCCCAGTGTATCCCGTTAGCATGTTGGAGTTGAATTTGTTTTAGTCAGGTGACTGTCATGAATGACTTCGCTTGTCGGGTCGTACGGTGCCTCGCAAAGTCAAAAAGCTCGAAGGACTGAAAATGCGATTGATACATGGGTTTACTATCTTTGCATTTGAATTTGCAGCGGCTTTAAACGTTTATAACTGCTCTTGAGTATGATAAATAAATAATTCAATTAATTAATTTATAAACGCTATTTCAACCCTCAAACTCTAAAGGTAGCATTAACTAGGTATTAAGAAACCTTCAGCCAGCCCTTTAGTTTGCAAGTTGTCATGGTAACCGTATATGGATAGCTAGGTTATTGTAACGCTAGTGAACAACTGCGCTAAAAAGGGTATTAGCAGATAAAAGAAAATACAGACACTCGCAAAGGTAACTGTAAGTAACATTGAAGTAAAATATGATAATAATAATATTTTACATATTTGTCAGATTATGTAAACTACACATTCAAGCTATAAAACTGATTGCTTGAATGATTATTTGACTTTTATAATTTCTGTGTTCACAAAGTTTGAATGGCTACTTTAGTAGACAACTTAATTGAAGATGAAGCCGAAAGAGAGAGACTTCTTGCTAAGCCCACCTGCTTTATCATCGTTGGAAGACCGGTAATCTACATATATATATATATATATATATATATATATATATATATATATATATATATATAAAGTGAAATTTAGCTAGGTTACGTATATACCTTTGTAGTTGTGTTTAAGTCCAAAAGACAGTATGCACAGTACTATCTGTCAGTGAATCAGATATGTATATATAAACAAAGAGGAAAGACCATGAATGCCATGCAGTTATAAAACACATTATGACGTTTAGTAGATCATCAAGTGTAAAATGTTTAGGCTATACTTAAAATTCCTGGACACAACTACTATAGAATTTTCCATGTCTTAAGCTGCACTCCACAATCACAAACATCATGCAGAGAGTCCCCACCAAAGCTCAACAAGTGCATACCCAAACACTAGCAAATATTTTTTTCTAATGCTTCAATTCCTCTATATTCCACTTCTTGGCAGGGTGTTGGCAAATCCACCTTGGCCAAAAAAATTGCAGAGTCCTGGAGGTGTATCCTTATTGATGGTAAGTACCCTTTTATGCCTTCATAAAAAAAACTTTTTCATAAAAAAAATCTTTTTACCAATTCGAGATGTGTATGTAGATGAGTTTTCACATCTTTCAGATACCAATCTTCTCAACACACACATAAAAAATGAAACAAAAGAGGGCCTGGAGGTAAGTAAAATTTTCTGTATCATTTGAAAGGAAGCCCTTTGTTCCTGTGATGTGTTTTCTTTATGCTTTTATAGTCATTAGAAACTCTGAGTTGCATTCTGTTGAATATAGCTTTTGGACATCTTATCTGAGGGAAGAAGTGTACCAGAGAATGTGGTGCTGAAGCTGATTCTTGCCAGGCTTAACTCGCCAGATGTGGAGCACTATGGTAATAAATAAGACGTCATTTAATTATGGCTATGCATGCAAAACAAACTTTTCAGTCACCAAATGTTCTTTGCAGATGAAAATAAGATGACTGATAGGTTAGACGATAAGCAATATGATAAGCTCTGCACTGTTTTGTAATTCACATGTTTTTGATACAGGTTATGTACTGAGCTGCCTGCCGTTCATGTCAGAAGAGCATCTGAAGATTAATGAGCAGATTGAACTGATCAAAAACCTCAAGCTAACGCCTGATATTATCATTAACATCAAGGTTACTGTCATTCTCTATTTGGAGTTGTCCATTGCATTTGATTTTTTTTCTTTTGCATAGTTTAATGTCGTAATTTTTTAATCTAATATCTCTTTAAGTTCATTTATGAAAAAGATCTGTCAGGATTTTACTGAATTGATTATAAATTAAATACTTTTACTTTTCACCAGTGTCCAGACAAGGACCTTGTCCAGAGGCTATCTGGTCTGAAGCAGGACCCAGAGACAGGGCAGTTTTACAACAGGGATCAGTGGCAGCGTGAAGAGGTGTATAACAAGGAGAAGAAGAGCAAGGAACAGGATGCAGAGGATGCAGAGGATGTGGAGGATGTGGAGGAGCAGGTATTACTTAAGGGAAAATAAGTGTTGTCACTTGATCATGTAATATGCATAATCATAGCTCTTTTAGTTCTCCCCCCTCCTTTTGTTTTGATGCTTGTAACAAATATAATCCAATGACTGCTGTTTTGCTGCTTTTCCTCTTATTTCATTGTATCAACCAAAACAAACTGACAGAAATCACTGCCTTTAAAATCCTCTGCCTCCCCAATCCCAGCTGGTCAGATTTGAATGACAGAGCCACTGCATTTCTTGAGTAAATGAGAGAAAATGACGTCAGTCTGCAGGTATAGGACTTGCTATCCTTGCTGTCATGATAGCGCTGAGCAAACTAGCCTAAAGTACCAGAAGCAATACCCAGAAGCAGTTGTACTCATGTCTTGGTGTAGGAGCATAAATATTATAAGCTTTGCCATGTTTACCTATGTATTTATTGCCTAGTGAAATAAAGCTATTGATCTAGTTTCAGTCTTAACTGTAAGATTTAAGGGTGTTGAATGCTAATCAGAATTTTATCCAGCAATTCTTAGACGATTAATATTTTTATCACCTTCCTAGTTCCGTACATGTTTGGATTTCAGTTTTGCATTTTTAGGGGGCTGTTTTTATTTTAGCTAACCTTTTATTCCCCAGGTGATCAGTTGTTATCATAGCAAAGAAAAAACTGCCAAGCTTTGAGTTCCATACTAGTATTTTTTTTTTCCTTAGGAAGAGGAACTCTCAAAGGATACCAATGACAGAATGGTGTGGACACCAGAGTATTTGGCTAAAAATGCTTTTGTTCGAATTAACATGTACAAGGATAACATGCTTAGACCACTGGAGGTGAGTTGCCCAGACCTAGACCTGTCATCAAAGTCACCCACTACTGACACACCAAAAATGTAGTTTGTTGTGTTATTTAAAAAAATCTTGAATAAAAATTCATAATTCCTTTAAACCTTGTATTTGAATTTACTTGGGAGATGCTGTTTTTGCTTAACCAGTATGTTTATATCATAAGGCAGTGAACATCCCAGATTTTTTTGACTCAAAAGGCAGTACTTAAGGGCTTTTGAAATTTAACTACAGACAAACTATATACTGTATTAATATTTATTGTTATTAAAAGAATAAATTACAAAAGAAAAACACAGAATGAAAAGTATATTAATTGATATTTTTTCAGGACTACATGGCAAACCACAACCCTCTCTACCTTTTGGAGTTGGATGGAAATAATTCAACAGAAGAGTGGCACTTGGTAAAGACTAAAAAAAACTTCAACAAATAGTATTGGTGTTTTCCAGAAGTGTTGTCTCTGTAAGGTGTGTTTTTTGACATTTTGTACTTCTAGTCTGTTATGTCGCGTCTCGAAACTTTGGCTATAAATCGCGTCCCCGTTCCAGTCCTCCTCCACCAGACTGAGGATGAGGAAATGCCAGAGGACGTTAGCACGGTCTGGAAGTCTTCACATTTTATTTCAAAACACAATCAGTGAATGGGAACATGTACAAAATACTTGTATTTTGAATAACATGTGTACTACAACCATCCCAATAATCCTGATCCTAAGAATTAAGACTGGACTTGCTTTAATATTGAAACCATATCTTTTTCAGGAGGACCTACTGAGAATTATGTCCTCTTACAGGATTATGGTCCCTGGCTTTAGGTGGAGAAGGAGCCGCTGGGGCAGAACTTGCCCTGTTGCTTTGAAAGAGGGCAAGGTCATTCCTGGCAAGCCACAATTTAGTGTGGGGTGAGCAGTCTTTTAAAAACTGTTTCCAGATGAGGATTCTATTGAGTAGCAATGTGAAAATGTTAAACAACTCTCATTCATTGTACAGATTCCAGGACAAACTGTACATCCTTTCGTCAGCGGAGGCACACCATAAATTTGTCACAAACCCTCGCCCTTACCTGTTACCTCCAATGCCGAGGTTACCCTGCAAAGTTTCAATCATTGGGCCTTCCCTTGCAGGGAAGACCACCTTATGTAAACTTCTAGCTCAGCACTATAACACAGCGGTAATTGACATGGAGGAACTGTTGCAGCCAGTTTTGGTCAAGGCTAAAGAGGAGAGGATTAATAAAATTAAAGAGGAGACAACACAGGCTGCTATAGACAAAATCAAAATGAAGATGAAGGAAGATGGACAAAATTCAGGTAAGCTGAACTTTGTTGGTATTTTTTTTTCTATAATCACATGTAGAATTACATTTGATAAACTGTGACTGACAATAATATGTTTTTGCAATAACAGTAATGCCATGTACCATGGCATAATAACTTGTCTGAGCACTATATACTATTAAGAGTGTAGCTTCTATATATATGTATGTAATAGTCCTCCAACAAACTGTATGATATAAAGCAATATTTGTACCTATTGCTGAACAAGTGACTGATAATGTCATACACAGAATTAATGTGAAGGTAAGATGTGAAAATACTTTCTTATAAACCATATGTATCATAGATATGTGAAAAGGAAAGTGCACCCTCTTTCAGTTTCATGGTTTAACATATCAGGACATAATTAAACAATATTCTGGTTGTTGTTGTGTTATGTTGTTCTAACATTTTGAAGCATACTGAACAACAGTATATTTGTATGAAAGAGGATCTTATTTGTTCTGTTGTTTTTAAGTGACAGAGGATCATCCACTGGTGCAAGCCATGGTACTCAGTGCTGTGCAGCAAGCAAAGCAATCGAGTACTACTTATTTTGGCTTGTATGCTGAGATACTAGAGAAGCGTATAAAAGAGGTACGTTAAAGATTTAAACCCAGGTGGGAGATTTACACCGACTTCCCAGTCTTAAGCAGTTAGCATGCATACACGTTCATATATTTGAATGATTAATGACACACAACAGGATTTTTCTGCAACTTTGTTTGGCATTGTTAGATTTTTTTTATTTGTATAAAATCATTGACTTACATCGCACAACACCCAACACTAAATCACGCATACAGGGACACGACACTTAGACAGTCACATGCATAAAGTAAATATAACTTACGTGATAAAAAATTTGATGTTATAGATTGAAGAGGTGGAGGGCAAGACTGGGTGGGTGCTTGACAACTTTCCCAAGAACCTTTCCCAGATGGATGCCTTACAGCAAGCTGGACTTCTGCCAGAGGTCTTCTTCTGTCTCACAGACAGCGATGGACACCAGGGTATGAGGCACAAATAGAAAAGATTAAACATATAAATTTGCATTTATAATTTGCAACAATTTGGTTTGAAATGCCCTTCAGTGTTTACGCATACACTTTGGTGCTTTTTACATTTCCATTAATACATTTTTTCATTGAGCAGTTTTGAGAAGACTTTATGAGATGAATAAAGAAAGTGTAAAGAACACTGTAAAGAAGTTAGAGGATGAACAGTCTCAGGCGATAGAGCTCTCGTAAGTGCACATGAAATGATGTTGTGAATTTTTTTTCTTTGTATGTTTCTGAGTTAGATTTTTGTTGCAACTTTTGTTTTTGTGCCTTAATTCTCTCCATTTTAGAAACCAAGAGGAGCAAGAATCAGAGGGGCAATCAAATATGAAGACAGTTATGGGAGAAGCTCATGGTGCTGGTTTTGGGTTTTTTTTATATACTACCCTTGAACATATACCATTCAATCAGTATAATTTTTATTACATTCTTTTTTATTTTCAGAAGATCCTAAGGAATTGAACACCACCAGCTCTGCAAATCCAAATGCAGTACAAAAAGAAGGTAAAGTTACAACAAGAACATGCTGTTTTGTTTTGTTTGGTTTGTTTTTCTCAGATCAAAAATGCAAATTGACTAAAGAGAGAAACTAGTATAAGGTGCATATTCAGGTCAGTCAGTCCTGGGGTTTGACTCTCATGACTCTGAATTTGGACGTGCGCTGAAATGGCTATGCTGCCCAATAAAAACTCCAATTTTCAATCAAAATCACAGATACATTTTTGAATGTGCTAACTAATTTATATGTTGTATTTGTACTGTTTGTGAGCACCACTGAAGTATCATTAGCATTCTTTCTCTAACTTTCTCTCGTTCACACTCTCTTTGTGTGGTCCAAGCAGCAGTGGTAGTACATGATGATTCAGAGTTGAGCTATGCAGATAGCCCCGAGATGAACGAGTATAAACTGCAGTTACGACAGTTTGTGGGTGAATGGGAGAAAATGCAGTCTGGTTTAACGGTAACCCACTGTACCCTGGAGATTGGCAGGAAAAGCCCAGAGAACCTGCTTCAAGAGATGATCCAGCAGATGGACAGTGAGTGTAAAGCTATGCAGACCAAATCACTGTTGTCTTAGAAACAAATTTGCGCCAGACACACACAAAAAAATACTGAGACAAATATTATGTTATTTTACTGGTAATGGATTGGAATAAATAAATGGTGAACTAACGAGTGATATATCATGTGATATTCTGCTAAAAAGTTCCAATCTAATCTTTAGCTCTCATGTGTGATCTTCAGAACCCTTTCAGTATGTGTCCTGGGAGTTATCAGAGGAGGACATGGAAAAAGACGCAGAAGATATAGAGGCCTTAGCTCAGCTGGAGAGAACAGAGGAAGGCAGTGATGATGATTATTCCCTAGGGGAAAGAGATGAAGTCAGTAAACTAAGGAGTCTTTCAGCTTTAATATCCATATGTTTACAGCGCTATTTAAAATTGTAGAAAGAGAACAGAGAACTTACTGCTTTCTTGACAAATATTAGTAAGGCAAGCAATCCATTGAAGTATGTCTATCTTATCTTCTTAATGAATGCAGGGAGACACCACGACCAACAGATTCTTAGGTGACACCCAGCATTTCTGCCCTGTTGTCTTAAAAGACCATAATGTCCTGCGACCCTGTACCGATGAAATTGCAGCTAAGTATCGTGAGAAGACCTACTACTTCTCCAGCTTAGAAGCCAGGGAATCATTTCTTCAAAATCCTGATCAATTTGTTGCACACACTGAGCCTCTCAAGGTATAACCTTAACATGAAAAGAGAAAGTCATATGCTGTAGTTCTGAACAAAAGTGTCCTCACTGGCTCTTTGTCATGTTTTTCCATCCAAGCCTCCTGCTCTGCGGATCTTTTTGCTCGGCAGCGGAGGCTCAGGCAAGACGACTAATGGGAAGTGGCTTGCACAGCAGCTTGGACTCTTCCATATCCAGTTCAGAGAGCAGCTCCAAATGCTCATAATGGCCAAGACAAAGATGCGGATACCTGATGCTGATGAGTTAGTGCTCTTACAAGATGATTCTGAAGACTTGGATGCCAAAATAATGGAAGCCAGGGCGGAGGACGAGAAGGAGTCAGAGGATCCCTATGATAACATGAATGAGACGGAGGTCAGCTTCAACACAGTTTCATTCTAGCACAGTTTGTTATGATATTTCATTTCAGGTTTTGAATTTCTGTGTATGTGCTTTTCTGTAACTTTAGCAAGAAGAACTGACTGAGGATGAAATGGCCATCAAAGCCTACCTATCTGATGGAGATCCTCTCAATCCAAAGATTCTGGACATGACTATTGCACCATACTGGAAACATGAACCATACAAGTAGCTATTACAAAACTGGATGTTTCCTGCCTCTTCTTGTTTTCTGCCTATTTGCTGTCTTTTTCAGAGCAAATCGCGTTTTAAAAAAAAAAAGCTAGCTTAGGGTAAACATCTAGTTTTTAGCTTTTTCTAAATGTAAATTTGCTGGAGTAGCTTTATACATAATGAACTTTAGATCGGTAACTTCCCATCAAGGTCTCTTTGAGAGTTTTGGTCACCTTACAAGAGATATTGTTCTTTAACTTAAGATCATCTATGTTCTAGGTCTACAGGTTTTATTTTGGAGGGCTTTCCTATTGATCTGAATGAGGTGCAGTACATGTTTGAGCAAAAGTTTTTCCCTGACGTTGTGGTAATGATGGAAGTGGATGTTGAGGATGTCCAGAGTCGTCTGTTGCCACAGTACCTGGAGATTTGGCGTGAGCGTCGAAACAAACGTGAAGCACAGCTGAAACTCCTTCATGACCTGCGTAAAAAAAAACGGGTAAAAAAATAAGTGATACTTAGGTCCCAGTTTTAGTAACTGTTATTTTTCTGCCAGGAAACATTAGTCTTGCTGTCTGTCTTGACAAATTAGGATAAATTCATTTCTTGGATCTGAAACATTCATGGTAATTTTGTAATTCAGGAGGAGGATATTTCCAAGAGAAAAGCTGAACTCATGGCAGAGCAAGATTTAAAGGCAACTAAAAAAGAGGTAAGCAAAAGAGGTAACCCGAATTATCACATCTGCATTTGATTCAAACGTCTTCTTTCTTTCTGTATTTGCAAACAAAACAGCTCAGTTTTCAAGATGGCACAAAAGATGATGAAGAGCATGAAACTGCAGACATAGAGGAGATGATTGAGGCCCTGCTGGAGGAGGAATTTCCTGCAGAAGAGGATGAGGAAGACATCGAGAATGAGGAGACTGAGGAACTAGCTACCAACAGGCTGGAGATAGGAATAAAAGAGCGTTTTGTGACACAAGAGACCAACCTTAGTTCTGTGATGGTACATATACACAAAACAAAAATGAGCCCTGATCAATTCTACTTGTATTTCATATTCACAACAAGACTTTACTTTAAAATATTTGTATTTTACAATAAAACTAGTTGGATCTTATATATGGTGCTATATGTTGTTCTATTGTTAGGAACTCCTAGGTGAACACAATATACCCAGAATGGTCATCAATGCGTCTCGCAAACTACGCATTGTTCAGTGTCAGCTGCTCAAGAAAATCAAACCCTTGTTGACCAACAGGGAGTCACTCTTCCAAAAATGCCACCCCATCCCCTACAGCCTGGCATGCAAACTGCTGCTCTCCTCTTTTAAGTTCTTCAGTGCCTTTGGCTTCCTGGACCCCATCAAGGTAGGCAGGGTTTAGGAACGTCAGCTGTGCTTCCAATAGTTCCAAGAAATATTTTAATATAATTACTCCTTTGTTTTAAGCTGAAATGTTGACAGAAAAAACAAATATGTAAAATGTCCTTCATAAAGTATACTTTAACATTTTTTTCATCCATTTCCAACCTGTAGCTACACAAAGAAAGAGACCTGATCCAGCCTCTGAAGTGGCCTTTCAACACAACATACCTCCTGCTGTTCCATCAGTATATCTACTTCTTTGCATCTAAGGAGAACTGTAACACATTTATGCTCAACCCCTTAAAGTACCTGCGGCAGCCCAAGCCCACCACGTCACTTCCTATTAAAATAGCAGTGACTGGACCTCCAAAATCTGGAAAGACCACCGGTAAGATACAAGATAGTTAAAAATGAACTTTATTACATTTTTTACTATGTTCATTTCTTTTATTTTACTTTTTGTATTTCTGCTTCCTCAGTGGCACAAATTTTTTCTCAGAAATATGGCTTGGCTCAGCTGTCCATTGGTAGCGTTATGCGTATGGTGCTTGACACTCAGGGGAACACCGATCTGGCTATTCAGATGAAAGAGTATCTCTTACAGGGCCTTGTTGTGCCTGATGAACTGGCCATTCAGTGTCTGGAGGTGGCACTGATGAACTCAGTCTGTAGCATGCAAGGGTAAGACAAAGGGTTTATCACATGTATGTGTTAATACTTAGCAAAACTCAATGCTAGGTGCGATCCGAACTTAATCTTTGGCATGGATTTTGTTTTTTTTAAGTCAAGACTGTATAATTTACTCTATTTTTGTTGGTTTAGTGTGTATCTAATATACTATGATATTTCTGGTATTTCAGATATGTGCTTGATGGGTTTCCAATGACCCTTAAGCAGGCAGAACTGATGGGGTCTCAGAGCATCATCCCCATGATAGTAGTTGAGCTAGAGCTGGACATAGTGGAGGTGCTGAAGAGAGGTCTTGCAGACAAGATGAAGCCCAACAAGTCAGAGAACACAGAACTTATAAATATAATGACAGATTTTAGGTCTGACAGCTGATTATAATTGCAAAAATTATAATCTTCTTGTGTTTCCTTTGTTCTTACACTTTAGGCCTCACTTGACGCACGATAGCTCTGAGATCCTACACATTCGTAATTCCTGCTACAAGAAGGAGGTGGTGCATGTGAGGCATCACTTCCAACAACAATATCAAAACTGCTTGCTTCTCAATGGCCTCAAGAGCAAATGGTGGATCTGGGACAGAATGATAAAAGAGGTCAGCACCAGCATGAAATATATTCAAACTTACCTGGACAGGATACAGAAGGGTAAGTTCAAGAAGAGTTTAAGCTGGTTTATTTCACCAGAAATCCCCTCAAGATGCTGTCAAACTCATGGGCTAAATGTTTTACATGCGCCTAAATGTTGAACCTCTTAACTCCACGCATGATGATTTAACCAGGGCAAGCAGCCTGCATCAACAAGCTGTGCATCACACCCAAGGAGTTTGACTGCCGACTTGGAGAGTTTGGCCAGTACTGCCCTGTCTGCATGGCCCTACATTACCACCTGGTGGACATCTCAGAAACTGCAGCATTGACTCATGCGGCTGAGTACAGGGGACATTATTTCAAGATGTGTGATGAAAACCATTTAGAGGTCAGTTTCTTGGAAGTTCCCCCATAAATTAATTGCAAGATTCATAGGTAAATGCCCAAATGAGTATGGGAAGGCATTCAAACCTAAAAACTGGAACTGGAACTTGTTATCTTGCTCTCTCAATCACAGATGTTCCTGTCTACTCCTGATCAATTTGTCACACCTGGCTGCCCGCACACCCTCCCAAAACCCCACCTCTTGCCAAGGAAGCTGACTGAGATACACGTGAAGAACAGGTTTCCACAGCAAGTTGAGATGAAGGGCTACTGTCCTGTTACTTACCTGGATGGAAAGCAGAGGTACATTATCCACTGTGTCACTGAGAAATATGCTTCAAATTGCTAAAGAAAGAAAGAAAGAAAGAAAGAAAGAAAGAAAGAAAGAAAGAAAGAAAGAAAGAAAGAAAGAAAGAAAGAAAGAAAGAAAGAAAGAAAGAAAGAAAGAAAGTTGGCAAACATATTTCTTTGTGATTCTGACTTTGTGGTGTCAGATAGACATACATAAGATCCTAAGGATCTTCTCTTTTTTGTAGCATTTAAAATCTAAATACTTTATTCCATCACAGTATGTCAGAAATATTGAATATGTCTTCTGTGACATTTTTTTCACATGGAAGTCTTATTTGTTCTTAGGTACGAAGCTCTGGTTCGAGGAAAGATGGAATATGCTGTGGAGTACAGAGAACGAATTTATATTTTTGAGACCAAGGAGAAACGGGACAAGTTCATGAGGTGTTATTTCTTTGTATATTTGAAAAACGTGTGCCTTTTTTTAATGTTTTCTTTTTTCACTTCACTTTTTTACAAACTACTTTGAGCTACACTTATAAAGAAAGTGGGTGGTGTGTAAACCTTTGGTCTATTCATTGAAATGTGAAATTATTTATTTAAGGACTCCTGAAACCTACTGGGCCCAAAAGCTGCCCATTAAAGTTCCTCCCCTTTCTGAACCTGTACATCTCACCTCCCTTCCAACGCTGGGCTACCTGGAGCAGGTCAGAAACTCTGTATCACATGGAAAATATTGCAGTATCGTCCTGTCTGCTGAGATTTTTAAAAGTACATCCATCAACCACATTGTATTTTTTAGGGTGTGGCAGAAGCAGTGATCAAGGCAATGACAGCTGCCGGGTGTCTCAAACCAAAGCATCCTTATCTCAGTTTAAAGAGATCAGCTCTCAGTTATGTGGCCTTGTATTTGAAAGGTAGGAATGTTATATTTAAACCTTTATTTAATATATTATGAGAAATATTAGGATGATTAAAATGGTAAATGGTCTGTATTTGTATAGCGCTTTACTGGTCTCTAAGGACCCCAAAGTGCTTTACACATCCAGTCATCCACCCATTCACACACACATTCACATACTGGTGATGGCCAGGGACACAACGACCGAGACTGTCGGAGCTGGGGCTCGAACCGGCAACCTTCCGATTACAAGGCGAACTCTCAACTCTTGAGCCACGATCGCTCTTTACTTTAAGTTTAAAGTAAAGATTTTATGTGCTGCTTTACCTCATTCTGAAATGTTTTCCTATCAAAGTTTACTATGTACAATGTATCTCATTCACCTTTTAAGACTTGTTATATGCTTCCAGCACTGAACTTGTTCATGTGTTTTTTCCTACTTAAGTAATAATTCCAATTTTACATTGTTATAGCTTTCAACCACAGGAGTACAGACTCCATTCGCCAGATGTACAAAAAGAAGCTGGCCTCATTTGAAGAGAACTGCATGCTCATCCCCTACCTGAGCACTGTAATGAAGGGGAACTACAGGCCTCCCAGTGAACGCCCGATTGACTTTGAGTTCAAGCTGAACAGGTTTTTGGCCTTAAGCGACTTGCCCGGAGCTAATGGCGTACAGCTTGATTAGTACTTTTGACTACAGCATTGTCATTGTACTTAACGTGATGTGGTAATCTGAGTCTGCAATACAATTACATTAAAAAAAATTACATTGACTTCTTTCGTTTATGTTTCTAAAGACTGTATCTTTAATTATAAAAGCTCTTTTGTCTGTATCATTATTTACCAGTAACTTTCACCATACACATTTCATTCATTTCATAAGCATTTAATTTTCTTTTTCCTGGATTGAAATAAATTTAACATTCAACAACGATCGTGTATACTTTATTAAGGTTTTTTTCTTATCCAGTTTTAGTCAGAAATGGGTTTGACACACATATGAATATCTGTTTCACAGTCTTTAGTAATATTACACAGGGTGTTCCGAGTGGTGGTAGTGCACCTTGTCATGAGACAGAGTTCAGTACTTTGATACTTCCAGAATGCAACAGAGTGAACAGATGGTGGCTTGGATGAGAAGAGGCCTTGATGGTTTTGTAGACCTGAAGGTAGTGAAGGTAGCAGGGTGTTGGCGGTCCTCTGTGCTGATTAAATGAAAATGAAAATTGTGTGGCCGTGAATTGGATGATGGGTGGATAAATGCTGCACATGACTGCAGGTTCCTACCCCAAATAACAGCCTAAAGAGTGTTGTGATATTAACGTCTACAATGAGTGGAACCAGGCAAATACAAAGAACTGAAGAGACAAAAAAAGAGCTATATGCGAGTTCATTTGACAATAATATTTAATTAGAAAATGCTCGTTGCATTCAATTCTAGTAAATGTGTGTTTAAATACAGACATTTCCACCGGAGAATCATCCGAGTACAGTAAAATAATCATCTGACACACACACAAACAGCAGGAGCTTTCCGCGTGCTACGACTGCGAAAGGAAAGGGTACAACTAAAGCATTAGTACAATTAAAGCACAACTACAGCACTAATTCGTTGTTACTTAAAGAATTAATCTGGCAACTGTTTGTTTGTTTCATTTAATTTATTCTTACACGTTGCTTCTCTTTAACTCTCTTCTTCATTGTTAAAGTCTATAATATTTCATTTTCTTTATTTTTTACTTTTTTTTAAATAGCTGTTCAGATTTCTCGATCTCGCGTATTCCCGCGAGATTTCAAAGCGGATAGCGGGCGCGAATTCGATAGCCGGTCTGGTGGTCGTTCCCATCAGTTGCGTCGGAGAGTGTGAGGGTACCGCAAGGTAGGTCAGTTGTCACTCCGCAAAATACCATACCTGCGCTTCCAGTTACTTAAGGCGGCACAAAACTAACCCGCAGCAAACTCGACTCACGTTTGGATAGACAGTCGTTGACTTTCTTTTTAGCATGTAGCCTTAGTTAGCCAGCTAAGCTAGTCCTGTAACGTGTGTAACTTTTCCTAAACGTAATTAAGCTACTAATGTCGCGGTTTAAACTGCAGGCAATGCTTTAAAACTCATATCCGTTAACTAGCAGCCGACGTGACGGCAGAATTTAGATGGAGAGCTGATTCGACAGTTTAAATAGATGTCTGACTGTGCTAGTAGTTTTATATGTGTATCAGGTTTCTTTCACTCTGTCGCTTTCTATTATTATTACTTCTTCTTCTTCTTCTTTTTACCGTTAAAAGCAACACGGGGTGTCTACGATGTCTAAAAGGAAGGGCACCTCCGTCAATGAAAATCCCAACAAGAGATCCAGATCTGTGAATGAAAGTGAAAATGCTGCTGACAGTGACCAGGAAGATCCCATTCTGAGTAATGTACGTCTGCCGTGCAGTGAAGCACGCTAGTTTTGTTTGATTTCCAGTTTTTGTTTAATTTCACCCTCGTGTATTTACTTATTTCTTAAATAATTCTCTGAGAATGCAAAGGATAGAGGCTCACAGTGTGGATACTTGTTACTTTGTGTGCAGTTGCAGTGTGGTGCGGAGGTGGTGAGTGATGCTGGGATTGTAGAAAGTATCACTCTGAAGAATTTTATGTGCCACTCGCTCCTTGGCCCGTTTACCTTTGGTTCCAATGTCAACTTTGTTGTTGGCAACAACGGAAGTAAGTGCACTATCTTATCTGGCAGATCGGAGATGTAACGAGGCTTCTGAATCCCCCTCGTTTCATGCCAATGCAGGCTGCAACCCTATATTTACATTTTGGCCAAAATGTCTCTATTGTGTGCTGTAATTATCATGTAAAGGCTTCTATCATTGCTGAAAATAGTTGAAAAATTATTAACTAATAATTACTAGTTAATCACTTTGGTTTAGTGAGATCTTGTTGCTTTCTCAGTGCTGGTGCTTTCTGTTGCACATGTCTGCAAATGTCATTATTTATATGGTGTTATTAGTGGTTTGAAGTTGTTTCGGTGCATTTATAAAATGTGAAGTGGAAACTCAGTGGCTGTTATTATCGTCCATAAATCTTTGTTTATTACAGTGTCCTGTCTGTTCAATTTTTGTGTGCCAATTGTTTTGTGACAGGTGGAAAGAGCGCCGTTTTGACAGCTCTCATAGTTGCCTTAGGCGGGAATGCCCAGGCTACAAATAGAGGATCATCCCTCAGGGGTTTTGTGAAGGAAGGAGAAAGGTGATTTCACAATAATTTTTTTATCCGTCACGCACTATCTGTTATCTTATTTTGTGATGAGAGAGCACATCATAAATGTGAAAAGTAATTACAAATAACAAACGCAAGTATCTGACCCTTGATGTGCATTTCTGTCTCCTCAGTTCAGCTGATGTTTCCATCACATTGCGTAATAAAGGAAGGGATGCTTACAAACCAGAGGTGTATGGGTCGGCTATTATTCTAGATCTAAGGATAACTCGGGACGGACTGAGAACATATAAGCTGAGAAGTAAATCAGGTAAAAATGCGAAGGAGTTTGTAAATTTAGATATTGCAGCAAACTATTTGCAGTAAATTCTCCATAAGTATATTTATAATTGTCCATTGATTTAAAATAAGAACAGAAAGAACAAAGATGAGTCATTTAATGGAGTCTGGAAAATCGTCAGTGAGAGTAAAGTGAATGTTCACAATGTTTTTCTTTTTGTTTTTTCTCTCTCTTACAGGTCAGCTAATCTCAACCAAAAAGGAAGAACTTGTCTCTATTCTGGATAATTTCAATATTCAGGTATGAGAGATGCAGGTCTTCTTTCATGTAACTCAGAGATGCTCTACCGCCAACTTTCAGCCAACTCTGTTTTTGTCCTTCACACATTGATGTTCTGGTTAAACTGCACTTTTGACTATGCTGTGATTTTAGCTGTATTTATCTGTACAATTTCAACATTTGAGCTGAAACTTAAGCAACAAATTGTGGGGCCATGTCAGTTAAAGGGTGTCACGTGAACCTGTGTTACTGTCATGCTTATTAATGTGTTTTCTCTCCCAAAGGTCAACAATCCTGTATCAGTTCTCACTCAGGAAATGAGCAAGTACTTCCTACATTCTAAAGGAGAGGGGGACAAGTACAAGGTTAGTTCAGAGTACTTGCATGTTTAAGCCACACAGCAGCATTGGGTGGACAGTTTGCTACACCGTGAAACGTGTTTCTTTATGGTACCTATGAAAATGATTGTCAGTCAAGGCAATTAAGTTTGTGCCTATTTGTAGGGCTTCTGGTGTGGCCAGTACATATAAAACCAACCGGCAGGCCAACACTCTGTTTCATCTGCCAGTCATTGTTTCCAAATGCAAATATTTGTTTGGAAATTGCGGGGGCGGGGGTGTGGACAAAATAGCTTTTCTATTTCACCTCTCTTATTCTCCACACAGACTCTTTACCTGCATGTAACAAAAGACTGCCCAAATGTGTTTGGTTAGTAGCTTCTAGCAACAAAAACCCTCTTCTTTGATTCGAATCTAATGCCAATAAGAGTTTAGATTTAGCATGGAAGAGATTTGGTATAGATGTTGTTCTGGTACATTTGGAATTTCTGATCACATATATACATATCTAATGATGCTGTCACCAGCCTCATCTGCAGTTTTGTTTTGATTGGTAAAATGGCAAACCATATACAAACTTCAGTTGCTTATGTATACAGGACCTTATATATTCCCCTTGCTATAAGAGCTGTGTAACACCCACATTTCTTATCCGTAGGATAATAAAGGTTTATTCTATTCTATACCAGCTTGATCATCTTGTTAGCCTGCTCCATAACTTGCAGCACAATCTCCTTGTTTGAATTTGTTAACTGTTAACTATAAATAAGCCCCGGTTGTTTTTAATCTATTTTTCTCTCTGCAGTTTTTTATGAAAGCCACCCAGTTGGAGCAGATGAGAGAGGACTTTATCTACATCAAAACCACTAAGCATCTCACAGAGGATAAAGTTGAGCAACACAGTGAAGTATGTATTTGTGTCGCTGAAATGGGCAGTAGTGATATTATTACATTTCTTGAATTTAAACCCTTTTATTTGGATTGCACAGCTAAGTTTTGTTTTAAAGCATCTTTTAATATTCATTTGTGGTCATTCCTAGTGCTTGAAAGACCTAAAACGGAAGTACCTGGAGAAGGAGGACCGTTACAGGAGCCTGGCTTCACTTGATGAAATGAACACCAAACTGGAGGAGTTGCAGAAGCAGATGGCTTGGGCTTTGGTGAGATCATTTTCCTCCAACTTCCCGCAATTTTCCAGTATTTCCCTTTCCCTATTTAGTTAAGATCACTTGTTTAAATTTTAATTCCTGTACAAATATGTTAAATGTTGCAGGTGACTGAGATGGAGAAGGACTTAGAGCCAATGAAGGAGAAGCTGCAGGCAGACAGACGATCCACAGAGAAATATGACGACAAGGTGAACGAATGGAAGGTATGAAACTTCTTCGGTAGTAACCCTGAAATCAACATATAACACATCTCAAATGTTAATAATTCTTTTAGAATTAACACAAATTACTACTAATTAAGTAATTGCTACTTCAGTTTTATGGCTCAGACTTTTGGACTGTTCATTCTGTAACCTTTTAACCCTAAACCTTTTTGATCATGCAGAATAAGGTCGATGAAGCAGAGAAAAAGTACAAACAGGTCCAGGAACAGCTAGAGAGGATCACACAGCAAGTCCAGGAGCTTCAACCTAAATGTGCTGAGCTCAAG